TGGTGTTGTAGCGGGACATTGCACCGATGAGAAATTTGTCAAAACCTTATAGAAACCGAAGAACTCCTTCTCATAGTTAAGAAAAGTTGTGCTGAAACCCTTTAAAACCACGGCTTCGTTTTCATCTCAACTACCACAAAAACTCTTTCTGTCTTGGCCATAACATGCGACAGAATAAAGGACAAGAATATTCTGATTTCAACGGGAAATCTTTAGCATTTAAAGAAGAAGGGGAAGTGGAGAATCTCTCAACGTATAAAGGAATATCATATCATGCACATTTTATATATTACTATAAGTATTATTTTACTAGCTTTCCATAAAGTATGCCTCGACAATGGAAATCTTTAGCATATTATGAAAAAGGGAAGTAAAGAATCATCAAGATATGTCTGGACAAATATTATAAGCCCATTCATTCCCTCTCGACCTATTTGGAGTGTGAAGCTCCTCCTTGGTCAGTGATAATAAATTTGTTGTCTTAGACATGTTCAATGACATGTTGATTCTTATGTTATGGCAGCCCTCACAAAGCTAGCATTGTATAAACTTGTTGTGAAACCATGACGATCAAACACGATAGACAGAAAACATGAACTAAGCCGCACCATAATTTTACTCGATTCATCCATAAGAAGAGCGGCAGAAAATTTCACTATAAATTCAGGTTTAGCCTAATGAAGGTATAATTGATCATCGGAGAAATTGTTCAATCAGTCCTAAAATTAATATATGGATGCCAATTCAACAATAAACTTTCAATTTGCCAATTTAATCATAAACCTTTGTGCGATATTTCAATATAATCATTCCGGCCAATTTTTGCTTGAAATCACTAACGTGGCGGCGTGTCATGTCAGCGATTTCCAACGGAAATTAACTGGAGGGATTACATTGAAATTTCGTGCAAAGGCTTAGAACTAAATTGTCAAAATGAAAAAATTTAAGACTGAATCGACATTTGTACAATATGTTTAGAATTGATTAGGTAATTTTCCCCATCGATTGCTCGATAACTCGCAGTACCTCTCAAACTCCTGTTATAGTCAACTAACTCACAAACCATCTAATTTACCTGAGTTCTCAATAAATATTTTTTCTAGTCTCACAAACAACTCTCACACACTCTCGAGGAGGCTTAAACTCAGTAATATCTTTGTCTAACAAAATCAAGAGACATAAAATAACACTTGAAGCCTCACGCTTTTTGAGAAAATTACCAAAAAAAAACCCTAATCCAATTGTACGAATATCAATTTAGTCTTAAACCTTTTAATTTAGCCAATTTAATCATAAACTTTTTGATAATTTGCCAATATAGCCTTTTTGGCCAATTTTGGCTGAAAATCACAGACGTGAACGTCGACTATGCTATGTAGGATGGCCAGTGCTGATATGGACAATTTTTGTGTATTTTTTTTGTAATTTTTTTCCTTTTCTTTTCTTTTCTTTCCTTTCCTTTTTTATTTTTTTCTATTTCCCATTGCCCGTCGCCGGGGCCTCGGCAATGGCCAACGGAGGTCTCTGGCCATAGGCGAGGGTTTAGCGAGGCTGACGCTTGCTAGAAGTCGGCGAGAGTGACCCTTGCCTATGGTTGGCGAAGGTCACCAGCCATTGCTGAGGCCCGGCGGCCAGCGAAGGGAAATAGGGAAAAAAACCTAAAATAAAATAAAAAAACACATAAAAGATTATAAAAATTATTCACATCAGCGCCAGTCATGCCATATAGGAAGGCCAGCACTTACTGGACCGCCGCGTCAGCATAATCAAACCAAAATTAGCCGAAGAACTACAATGACAAATTATCAAAAGGTTTACAATTGAATTGGCATACGTACAACAGGTTTAGCGACTTTTTGTAAATTTTCTCATGCTTTTTCCACCCCACTTTTTACTTCTAATACCCCTATCAACTTGTTTTACCGTATTATCCTTGCAAGTGCCTTTTTTTGTTTGGTTTCGCTTCTTCTCTTCCTCTTTCCTTCTTCTTCTTCCTTGAATTCATTAGAACTTGCCCTCGAACCAAGCTGATTCGCTTGCTCTAACTCTCTTTTTCTCAGACAGCAACGGCACCTTATACCGCACAATGCTTTTAGCCGACACAAAGCTAAATGAACAATAAATATATTTTTGAGGTTTGATCCGGAGAGAGAGCAAAACAAAGAGGATGTTTACTCACGGTGAATGCTTCTCCTTAGAATTACTTCCCCAGCAAACTATTCTACTCTTTTTGGATTGCGCTTTTTTCACTCCTTTTTTGGTTTAGATACTCCATTTTCTTGTGTTTTGACCATTTTATCTATTGTGGGGCCCGCCACTTCTAATATAACTCTACAAAAGTGATTCATTTTGTACTATTCGGCCAACTCTTTTTATTTTGTTTTTTTTTTCCATATAGGTCCCACTTTTCTTCTTCTTTCTTTTTTTTCACGCCTTTGACGACTCAGTTCTACGCCTCCCACTCCTCCTCCTTCTTCTTCCCCAAACCCATTGTCCTCTATTTTCTATCTATGATGCCAATCCCGTTGTTCTCCACACTTTCACTGGCACAGACATTGAGCTTACTGGTGACCTCCCCAACAAGCCGTTTTTCTCCGCCGTATGTAGGCGGCGAAATAGTAGACCAGATTGTTGTCGATTCGGTACAGTAGACCACATTTGTTCTTAAAGTAAAAGACATGCACTGTTGGAGGAGCAGTCAGATCTACCTTGAATGTAGCCTAATTTTAGGTACAAGAGGCATCCTTTAGCCTCCACTCTAGATTTAAACCCACCATCTACAATCCTAAGAAAGTGAAAAAAGATTTGGCCTCCATCATCAAAGAAAATAGATTACTCAATTCCCCTTGAGATCAAACAACCAAATTAAGCATATCTTGCATCATTATAATGAAAAAAAAAAATTATGGATACCATATTAAGAAACTGAACCCAGAGGGAGCAAAAGTCTATAAGACGCGAGTATGCTACAGACTACAAAGCAATTGCACAGTTAATTCATAAGCATTGTTTTGATGCACTCTATACTCTAAACACAGGATTGAAACACAAGATTAAGCATTTCCACGATCCAAAACTCATTCACTTTTAACAAAAGATATCAAAAAACACTCAATAGCGACCGAGCATGATTCAAGACCAAGAAACTAAAGAGGAAAAAAACAAGCTTTCATCAGAATCGTACTTCCGATGTAGGAGAGATTTGTGATAGAAGAAAGAAAAAGGAGTGAGAGGCGTAGAAAGAAGAGAATGGCTTGCAAGAGAGAAAACACAAAGCCGATTTGCAAGAAATGACGCCGTGAAAAAGAAGAAGAAGGAAAGTAAGACCCCTAAGGAAAAAAAAAGAAACAAAATAAAAGGAGCTGATCAAATAATTAAAAAAAGGGATCACTTTTGTAAAGTTTTACCATAAATGGTGGGCCCCACAAGGGATAATATGGTCAAAATATAAATAAAAGGAGTGTCTAAACCAAAAGAAGAGTGAAAAAAGCGGCAATTTTTTTTTTTTTGTGCTTTCGCAAAATCTAACGAAGTATCGCAACTCTCAAGGAAAATTGAGATGGCCGAAGATTTTTTAGCTCTGGAGGGAGAATCAGATTTTTTAAAACAATATTCTGAGATGAAGTTTGATCTTCAACAACATCATCATCATCATGCTATTATGAATCACAGTCACGAGCCTCCATATCAGCATCACCAGCAATAGATCAACTCGGGCTTGACACATTACCAATCCGCACCGGTTCCTAGCTTCTTCTCAAACTCTCTCGAGGGACTTTCGCCACGAGTTCCTCAGCCATCCTTCGAGTTTGGAGACGGAGTGAATTCTCGCGAGGTTGATATCCGGCAATTGAGATGAATTGCTGGCGGCACAGAATCTCGACGGATTCCAGCGGAGTCCGCTGCCAAATGAAGTGAGCAATCGCCAAACCGCAGCTCATGGAGCCGATGAAGAGTTCAAGTAAGAAGAAGGGAAAAAAGAAGGGAAATAAAAAAAAATAAAAATAAAAAGAAAAAGAGACATGCAAGGGATAATGTGGAAAAATTAATGTGATTTGAGGTGTCTAGTGGAATGGAAAAAGCGTGAGCCCTTGAATTAACATGAGATATAGATAATAACTTTGGCTGGACTTAGTTTTTATGTGCAAGTTTTGCATGCACCTGATTTATGTGAACTCATTCTAATTCGATTGATAAATCACGCAGGGTGCACAACATTTGATAACTGAGACGAAATGGATTGCGGATGCATACAAGAATATTTCATTTTCTAGACGAAGTCAAATTCAAACTTGACACGTAATCTCGAGTACTTTCTTCTTAATCATGTGCGTAGAGAGAAAGGGCAAGGTAATCCACCTCAACTATCTTGCCCAGTGAATGCTCAAGTTGAACGTTCTGACAGAATTCTCGAGTATATCGATGGAGCAACTCAGCATTGATGTCCTTATCTCCCAATTTTTTTTTTTATGATGAAAGAATCAACTTCTTGAATGTGGTCAAGTTTGAGGATCTAGTTCATTCATCGCCTCCTCCAAGCCTATATGACTATTGGCCAAAACAAGTTCGTCACTCTTTGTAGCGATCTAAATTTACAAAGTTCCTTATGTTAACTTAACACGCAACTAGTGGAGACATTTCTTTCAAATCATCTTGAAATCGGATGAAAATTTAAGAAAATAACGCAAAGAAACTTCTACAATACAACGGTTGTTTCATATAAAATGCAACGTCATGACTCGTGACAAAACATGGTAAAATGTGAAGTTTCTTCAATTTCCTGATATAACCCATGTTATCGCAATCAAGTGCGGATGCGTGGTGAACTGCATGATCTAATATACGGTTGAAAAAATATATGAACCTAAGCTTCTGACAATTCTTGAGTAAAAAATGGTTAGATGCGTAATGATTTTGAATTGTTGAAGTGGCACTGACGCAATTTTGAGTCTTCCGGTGGCTACTTTTCTTACTTCCCACCATATATCTATAGCTCTCCTATCCAGCTCTAGCCGAAAACCAACCACCAAACACTCGCCGAGTTCTTCGCACTTACACAAACACACACGGAGAGATGGGTTCCAGCTCCAACGAGTTCGACATAATAGTAATCGGTGGAGGCATCATGGGCAGCTCCACCGCTTACCAAACGGCCAAAGGAGGCTGCAAGACACTCTTACTTGAGCAATTCGACTTCTTGCACCACCTCGGCTCCTCACATGGCGAGTCTCGCACCATACGTGCAACTTACCCCGAGGACTACTACACCGACATGGTCCTCGAAGCTTCCAAGCTATGGAGAGAGGCCGAGTCAGAGGCCGGATACAAAGTCTACACCAGCACTCCCCATCTTGATATGGGACCGGCTAATGATGCTAGTCTCAAGGCTGTCATAGCAAGCTGTCAAAAGAATTCCTTCCCGTTTCAGATACTTGACCACCGTGAAGTCACCAATAAATTCTCCGGCAGGCTCAGCATACCAGAGGATTGGATTGCGGTGTATACCGAGCTCGGGGGTGTCATTAAGCCCACTAAGGCAGTGTCCATGTTCCAAGCGCTAGCATTTGGAAAGGGTGCAGTATTGAAGGACAAAATGGAGGTGAAAGATATTAAAAGAGATGAAGTCAGAGGAGGCATAGTGGTCTACACAACCAGGGGTGACAAGTTTTGGGGTAGGAAATGTGTGGTCACCGCTGGGGCTTGGACAAAAAAGTTCGTCCATTCAGTTACTGGCCACGAATTGCCAATTCAGCCCCTGGAAACTGCAGTTTGGTATTGGAGAATCAAGGAGGGGCACGAGGAGAAGTTTTCCATTGGAGGCGATTTCCCGACATTCGCAAGTTATGGACAGCCTTACATATATGGGACCCCGTCTCTGGAGTTCCCGGGCCTGATCAAGGTTGCAGTGCATGGTGGATGCCTGTGCGACCCGGACAAAAGACCATGGATGCCCAGACGGGACATAGATTCATTGAAAGAATGGATGGAAGGAAGATTCCTAGGATTGCTGGATTGTAGCAAACCTGCGTTTACACAATCCTGCATGTATTCAATGACACCAGACGAGGATTTTGTGTTGGATTTCTTGGGCAGGGAGTTCGGGGAAGATGTGGTGATAGGTGGTGGATTTTCCGGTCATGGATTCAAGATGTCCCCGGTTATAGGGAGGATACTGGCAGACCTTGTGCTCACTGGGAGTGCAGATGGGGTGGGGCTCAAGCATTTTAGAATAGGAAGGTTTGACGAGCATCCGAAAGGGAATATAAAAGAATTTGCAGATCAGGTTGGTTTCATTAAGAGTCCCCTCTGAGTGAGTACTTTTGAGTGCTGTCCTGGTGAGGTATGCTAGTTCGTGCCCATTTATTTTCTTTGCACATGTTTACTAGGACCTATTGCACCGTGTGATTCCATTTACTCTTCGATTGGCAGAAGAATGAGTTGTATGTTAATTTAGTAGCAATTCATCCTCTATTATGTATGATCTATTATGTGTTTTGGACATAAAAGAAAAATCTCTTCCGCATGCTTCGTTCTTTTGAAGAGAGGAATTGTTCGAGTCGTCAGTAATCTTTCACATTACACTCACCATGTGCAAAGAAAATAACGGCCAAGCTAATTGGACACGCATTAGCATACCTCCCCCAGACAACGCTCAAAACAGAGACTACTGAGAGATAAGATGACAATTATTTGTGCTCATCCAGTATGGACTGTTATTGAAACCAACCTGATCTGCAAAGTCAACAACGAATGAAGAATTGGCGTCCAACTATGTCAATAGCTCATGCAAGTTGAGCATTCGTCACTGATGTATGACTGTATGAAAGAATAAGTCAATACTAAGATATGCATACAGATGTGCCAAAATGGTGAAGCACATTGCACTTACGGTGATAGAAAATTGAGGTGAATTACTGCCTGCCACACCGCCTCCTGAAATTAACATCATTCTTCTGCTTTTTAAGAGTCATATAAGCTCCTGCTCCTCACAAGTGCTGAATCAAAGCCCAGTTTCTGGCATCAACAGGTAGTACAAAAATCACAAGTGTCAATCACATATCTTGACGTTAGTAACAATCTCACAATAAATAAAAGGGTAGATGCAAATCCATAGAAGCAATAAATAAAAGCTTAGTAGCTAGATTATCAGTCAGAAACCTAAAGCCCATCTTCTAATTCTGTCACTGATCTATGGATATCTGCTCCAATTTCCCTCCTTTATCACTTTAGCCTGTTTTAAAAGTTCATAGCCAGAAGATTGAAAATTCAGGATACAAACAAACTTGAGTCTTTGAATGCAGCAACTACGGCTTGTTACTTTAAGCTGCAAGCTGTCTCGTACCACTTGGGATGTTTACTCAACTCTGCGCTGAAAGTCCTTTTGACCATCTTCAATAGCTTTAGGTTTTTAGAAAGCAAATTCCTTGCACTGTAATCAAAAGATTACTTGTTACGACCAGACAATTCTTCCGATGGAGAATATGTTAGTGAGTTTGGGAAAAAAAAATCTTAATCAGCATAATTCAAAGGGTATTCCCAAAGTTTAGCATCCAAAATATATCCTCTAGGTTTCTTTTTATTACAAAAGCAGGTTTAATCTCCAATATGCAACAAGACCATTCCAAAGTTTCTAAATTGTTTCAACCATCAGATTCCTGCATGGCCACCATGAAGTAACATATGAGGGCTTACTGCAAAATCCAAATTTGCACGTGACACAACCGTACTCTTTACAACTGATTAATAAAAGCGTAAGCATCAGGAGAAGAATCGAACCCTTTCACTATGGAAGCCTGTTATAAAGAACTAACTAGGATGACTTCTGGATGGAGGACTCTCTCCGTTATTTGAACTCTGCATTTTAACTATGACAAAAGACTAAAGCATGCGCAGAATAACTGAGGTGACAGCACCAAGCCATAACTAGCGGTCAATAGTTAGACCTCCTCCAAGAATGCTCAGATGTTGACGCCAAGGTTAACTATAGTTTGGATTGCTGTGCCCTAGTATAAAATTCAACAACAAGAATGCAGGATGTACTTGTGTAGTGTGTCTTTGATCGGGGTAGGCTTCTACAGAATGTGTAGGATCACTTAATGCTTTTCAAGAGCATATACACTTGAAATATGCTAGACGAATGAGGCACCAGTAAAGGACTCTCATCCTGCCATATGCGACAAAGACTCTTTGACACAGAGTAACAAATGCAGTCATAACTCACAAAAGCAATGCAGCACATGCTGCATCACCGCACTTTGAGATGTCGGCGTTCATTTAGGCATTAGAACGCAGTCACAGGATCATCACCAACGTCCTTGTCCGACTAAAACAAGCCTCGATCTTTCGATTTTGGGCGCTGTCCGCTGCTAGTAGTGCCTTCGATCGAGTGATGAATAGATTGTGTTTTAGTGTTGTGTGTCTCCACCCAAACTAAACCAGTTAACATGTCAACAGGCAATCAAATCCACACTCGGAGAACTAAGAAAAGGGTACGGACCCCAGCAAGCCTCCTCGTCCCTAGAACATGTCCAGTTCAATTTCCCGCTACTAGGTGAGGAATTCGCAATGTCAAAACCAAATAGCAGACCAAAACTGAGGCAAACGAACCCACTTATCGTTTTCCATTAAGCGACTAAAATTAACAAGATAACTCAAACAATCCATGCGGAAAATCGTCTATCCAGTCAAGAAAACTCTACAGCACAAGGGTTTTGTCTGCCTCAACAATCATGTCATGCCCTCAATTAGTGAGAAAGCTAAGGGGAGGCGAGAGTCTGCATCCTTTTTGGTGCAGTCTCTCCAAATTGAAGACGAACAGGCACGTTAAACTGAGCCCAAATGGACCGCGACTGCGCGATGCTAGGCGGGAGGGAGATTGATAAACTCAATTGACCCAAGATTATGCATTCCTCCGTGGATCTTTTGGCATGCCGCGAACCAATCACCGAGACACATTGAGGCGCGAAACAGTGCAACGAAAAAAACCGCAAGTAACGGAACGGAAACGTCAGTCGACGTGTTTACCTTCGAACCCATTTGGTCGGCCCAATGTTATCTGCACGCTCTCGTGCTGGTGCCCACGGACGAATTGCAATGCTTGAGATTGAAGCTGTCTCGTTTCTCGAGACAATAAAGTCCGAGGGTGATGACCCAGAGACACAACACTTGTGAATTGGCTTTGGGCCAGGCCTAGAACCAATACGGTCTCGTTTCAGTGAAGAACATGTGATGGGCTGCGACTATTTATCAATTGTTCCTCAAATTTAATGATCTTGGAACCCATCTTGTCACCCATATAGTTAGAGGTGGGATTGAAGTTGGATCGCTTTTTATTTTTTTGGGTCTCATATGACATATCATACTAAAATATGGCATGATCACGATCTAATGGAGCTTAATCTCGAGCAAATTGACTCTCTCAATATACCCCTAAATTGATAGAATCCCGCGTTCGGCTTCATAAGAAGTGAATCGCTCCGTTTGTTTCCTCTGTAAGAAAGTTAATCTCATAGCTAGTGGCCCAATAGCCAAGCACACCCGACCGTTCGCATTCGCTGATTTTTGCTATAACTTGGACGAGGTTTTCTTTCTCTTTGAGTGACTACATAAAATGTACATTGCCGGTATAAAGAAAATTTGTCACAAACGGCCTTACTTACCCTATATTCAATAGTTATGAGTGAGTAAATAGTTACACCTTACAATAGATGGTAAATAAGGCCGTATGTGGAAAAAGTTTCAGTGTATTGATTGTGTACTATGCTATAATTTTCCTTTCTTTTCCCCTTGATTTTGCCAGTTTTCAAACAAGGATTGAAATTGTGCAAAGACAAAATAGAAAGTGAAATAGATATGGTGTTCAAATAGTGCAAAGCTTTAAAAACTTCTCAAAGGGCTTTGGCTCCAAGAAGAGAAATAAAAAATGTTGACCAGTCGTATCATGGAGAAAGAAGTCTCTACATTGGAAAGGGAAGAGGAGTAAAGCAAGATTGAAAGAGCATCCAACAATGATCTTTGGTCGATTAGGAAAATTCGTGATTGTGGGACATGCACATCTTTACATTACATAGAAAGCTAGCATCGTAAACTGTCCCTTTAGGAACTCCATTTATCAGAGGATCGACTTTTACCCGATTATGGATCTATCTCTTTTGTATAGAATAAAGAAAAGGAGAAGAGAACACTACTATCCTTGAGGTGGTCAAAAGAGAAAAGTTACCACCATCCTCTCTAAGTGGTCGATTAGCTGGCCACTTTCTACCCAACAAAAATATAGTTGGCTTTTGCCATCTTTAATTTCGGAATTCAGGATAAGTAGCCTCTCTCTAGGGATTAATTTTCAATTTTAAAACTCGAAACCTACCATTTGACGGTCCGGTCCAACTTCAAGGTTTACTCGAGAACCGTCTAATTCCTTTTTTATTTTTATTTTTCGAAAGAATAAACTTTAATAAAACGTCATCTCAAAATAAATAACAGTTACAATTAAAAAGTAGATAGTGAGAGATCTAAATCAGAGGCAAAAGTGATAATAACAGGAATGCAAGATGCAAGGTAAAACTAAATAGAGAGAGATTACTCGATCCAATTCCCCCGGTTCGATCCTGTTCCGCTTCTAAAATCGGGATGGAAATGAGCTTCCGCTCCTACTTTGCAAGTGTGTATATTGAAGTACCGATCATGTAAGATTCCGCATGCACGAGGACCCAAAAGGCTACATTATCTTCCTCAATCTGCAAACATGTGATGTGACCTTTTGTCTTCGCCCAATAAAAATCGCCCTATTCGCTGTCTTTCTCAATAAATTAGTGAACGAAAGTTGCCCCAAGTTCCAAGAGTGCGTGCCACAGCTCAGTTCCACAAGCTTTTTTTGGTCAACTATGTTTTGCTGCAATTAAAGTTCCATTGGACACTACCAAAACTATAAAGTGATGATAATCGATAAGGTGGTCGAATGATTTGAATCGTATCTCTTCCTCCTTATCTTTCCCGAGTATTTAAGAGAAGCGATAGAATCAAATCTCTGCCCAAATCTCCTTGCAAGCAATAAACTACTTTGCATATGGACCATCGAAAGAAAAGTCAACTAATGTGACAAATTGTTAATGACAAGGTTTTCATGAGTGGGCAAGACGAAGGGTGTGTTAACCTAGAGCTATGTCTTTTCGTAAGAACTGCTGATTTTGGGTATTATTGAATTGAGATTCTTCCAAATTTAGATATTGATTTTAGAGAGATGACTGAGTAGAATAATGAAGATTGGCCATCTTTGTATCGTTTGTTCTTTCGTATTTGCTTTCTTTCGGGGTTGTGTGTATGGTCAACCACAAGATAGCCGTCGGTGCATATTTTACATATGGATTTGATTGCGTTTTAGTTGGAATCTTTACCAAGCATAATTGCATTGTTTCGTACCTAAAGATACGGATGTTTCCCTTGCTAGTAGATTCCATCAGTGTTGATAAGTGTTGGAGAATTATTGATAAAGAAAATGACTGGTGACTTCACTTTCAGGTAACTTTCTGGTAATTTACCGACACTTTTGTTAATTATCGACTTTTTTTCATAGTCTGCAAATGAACATTTTTTGTATCAATTTACCAATTTTCAATTACTTAACTTGCCACGTTTCGAATTTACTAACTATTACGTGAATTACCAAATCTAAATCAGAGTGACTTTCCAATCCTGATTATATTAGATTACCAACTATTTTTTGATTAACAATTCTCGTTTAATTTACTTACCAACTTTGAATTGTTTTTCTATTTTATGAATTTTCTTATGGAGTTACCAACTTTTACTGTTTTGATTAGTAATCCCTAACATTAACCAATTTCTCTTAAAGAATATCAATCTAATGTAACTGACAAACTTTTCTCCCATCAAATTACCACATATTATTGGGTTCCCAACTTTTATTTGAGTTACTTATAGACATATGTTCGATTTACAAACTTTTATTTGACAAGAAACAAAAGTTGGTAGATGAAAAGAAAAATTCTTTTTTGTCATAGAAAGAGAGGTTTGTAATAAAATAAATAAATAAATATTGGCAATTAACTCAAATAAGAATTGGTGATGGTAACGCAAAACTAGTTGGTCATTTAATTGAAGAAAAGTTAGTAATCACTATAATTAAGGTTGGTAAATTCAAAAAACGATTACTAAATTTTACAAGTTTACAAGTAAGGCAAATTGAAATGATAACTCTATAGAAAAGTTTGTGAACTAAAATAGTTAATGTTCATAAGCAAAAGAGTTGGTGCCCAAAACTAATTAGTAACTTAATTGGAGAAAATTTGTAAGTCACTCAATGAAGGTTGGCAATTTCATATAGAAGTTGATAAAATTTAAAACATTGACAAGAAAGGTAATTAAAAGTTTGTAAAAGATGAGAGAAGATTTTCGTGTCAGAGATAAAAAGAATTGAGTTGCTAAATCAAAAAAATCGAGTAAATGTTGGCAACTAACTTAAGTAAAAGTTGATGACGTAAAACTAACTTAACCGGAGAAAAGTTGGTAATTCCCTAAAAAAAACTGTTGCTAAGTGAGACAAATAAAAGTTGGTAAGTGAATAGAAAAGTCGATAAATTTTAAAAAACAAATAATCATCAGTGACAACTAAATAAGGCTTGGTAAATCAAAATAAGTTGGTAACCTAATGTGAGAAAAGCTTGTAAGTCACACAAATAAGCATTGGTAATTCATATAAGAATTGATCAATTTAAGGAAATTGTAAGAAAGATAAATAAAAAAATACGTAAATATCATTTAAAAGTAACTCAAATTAGAGTTGGTAATCGAAAATTAATTAGTAATTTAACTGGAACGAAGTTGGTATGTTACGCAAATAGTTTTTGGTAAATTCATATGATAACCGGTAGATATAAGGGGGAACTTGTCTAAAAATTCATAAACCCATTGTATGGCCGTCAATTCAATCCTAACTTTCTAATTGAACCAATACAGTCTTGAATTTTTTGACAATTTTCCAATGAAATTCATCCAGCTAATTTTGATAGAAAAGAAATCACTAACGTGGCGTTCAGTCATCGCTAGCCATCCTACATGGCACAGCTAACATCCGACGTGAACAGTTTTAAACAAAATGACGCTGTTTTTCTAATTTTTTGATTTTTTTCTTTTCTTTTCTTGGTAATGTTCATGTTTATCTTCTTTGAATGATACCCTTATATTAAGTCACTCGAGATATTGTCCACTTTGGCCTGTCCCATACCAAGCATCACGGCTTTGTCCTTAGGCTTTGTCCCTTGGCATATAGGTAGGCATTCTATCAAAAAATCACTCATCCTGGTAATGCTTTCACTTGAACATGCTTAACATTGGAGTTATAATGATAAACATTATCATTACGTTAAAAGGCGTCTCTTGTGAATTAATTCCAGTTTCACATATGTATTCCAAGAATGCTCTCCCCTTGTTCGGTGCACAATTTAATACCTTCATGCCTCTTTCGCTATCTTAGAACCCTGCCAAGAGCCGCTCATTGCCAGTCTCTCTAGCCTTAGCGATCAATCCGTGCCTTCATCGGACCTAGTTGTTAACTTGCTTCCACATGGTTCAACCTCATACCACACATCTTTTGGACTCTAATATCATATTGTGAGACTCCTAGATTTACTCAATTGAGGTATTTTCTGCTTTGCCCCATCTCATACTAAGACTTGTGGTTTTGTCTCTTGGCATACAGGTAAGCACTTTTGCAAAAGGTCAACCATTTGGGTGATTTCCGATCTAAATTGGCTGGATAGTTGAAAATTTGTCAATAGATTTAGGACTACATTAGTTAAATTGAAAAGTTTATAAGCGAATTAGAATCCGTACAATACATTTAGGACTTTTTGGACAATTTTCCCAAATTTAAAGGCGTTGGTAAGAAAGACAAATGAAAGTTGGTAAAAGATAAGGTGAGCCGGTAATTAGTCGATCTTCAAAAGGAGTTGACAATTTCATAAAAGTGCCGGGTAAGTCACCAACAAATTATTAAAGATCATGTGAACTGCTAATAAAAAATTTAGCTGTACAGAAAAAACCCGAACAATAGAATCGTCCCTTTACCATATTAACCAGAGAGATAGAATTGATTTTGCCAGACAAGGTAACACCCCAAAAAAATGAAGAAGCAATAATCGGATGTTGTCTGCGTTTAACCATTTGATAATATATATATACAGCAACATACTTGAGATGATGAACAAGCCAACACCTAATACATCTAAATTTAGGGTGCGTTCGGGAAAACTTCATAATAAGGGAAAATGGTTTCCACGAAATTCAGATTAAGAAATTCGTTTTCTAACTTTAAGCATGCATTTTTTCTTTGACCGCGAATGGTTTTCCGTCGATTATTCATATTCAGCAAACCAAATGCGTGAAAGTTCACAAAGTTCTTTCATTTGAATAAATACGTCGTTACATCTATCGGCAAGTCATACCATTTTGAGAGAGGGACAACAAATCAACTTCGACATGTCTTCCGCGGGAGCACGCGTTTCAAAGCAAAAGAAAAGCACACGTCCAGTCCAGAGACCAATTCAACGTATGTGCAATCTTCTCATCTCAGTGAGAGCTTTTGTTGGTAATTTTCCAACTTCAAGTCGGCAAGAGCTTTCCCCCCATTCAATACCACGAACAGTGACCCTTTCAAGTCCTTGAGAAATAGAAATGCCGTCAGACCGGACGACCAAGTCAAGCGTTGATTCTTCCTGTGAATATCGTTCCAGTCCACCCCTCTGTATCGACACCATCTAATGCGTCGGACCACGCGGTGGTCTTCTTCAGTTCGAAGCTCATGCATTGGCTGCTGTTGAAGGGTTTGATTCCCAGCCCTTCTGATACGTTAAGCATGCGAAACCAGCTTCGTCTTTCTTTCCTTGTTTGTTCCTCGTGTTGAATGGACATAGTCCTCGTTCTAAGTTCTAACCATTCGAAAGAGATCTTACCCGAAAAAAAGATATCGAAACGTGACAAATTGGGCGCTCGACTCTTTCTTCCTCTCTTTCGATTAAGTAACTGGCTAGCGAGTGCCTTGAGTAGGGGGAATCCCGATAGCGACTTAAAAGGGTTTAATTGCACGCATTTCGTGTAAGTAGAAAGGGACTATTCATTATATTGTGAAGGGGGGCGACCTCCTCTTCTTGTACACTTATGGGTAAGAGGGGTTAGGAATCTTAACGACAATTAATGCCTTGTCAAACATATACAAGTGTTTCTTGATTAACTTCCCAAACCATTAATCGACACGTGCTTTTTCCTTAATTTTTTTTGGTTTATTCCCTAAGGGAAACTTCCATTTCAATAAGACGATCTTAACACGACTCCTTGTGCTTGTCATGAATCTCGGGATTCACTTCTAAGCCTTTTAACCATTCTCTTTCTATTAGCTGGCCTAATTGGTTATATTAATAAATTTTGTGTGATAGACTTGTACAAAGCAAACGTCGAAGAAAGATTTTAAATTCATAAGCATATTTGTTAATAAATTCCGTCTAAATTGCTTCTTTCTTGTCGTATAATTACTATAGCTTGTGTCATCACTGAAGGCTCCTTTTTTATGAGCGATATGCCTCTTACCACTAATTTAATCGTAATCTTTTAATAGCAATAACAATGGATATTTGCAGATTTATAAAGAAAAGAAAAGAAAAGACATGTTTTGTGATTTTTTTCCTCTCATTTGGTATCAAAGACAATTTTAGTATGCCAATATAGATCCTCGAAAATCAGGGCAGCAAACGGACAAACTTTAAAGTAACGAGTGCCACGTTCATTGTTGACACTAACATGGACAAATTTTATAATTTTTTTTATAAATTTTCCGAATTTGTTTTTCTTTTTTTACAAAGTCCGGCAAGGGTCCCGACCCTTGCCTTGAAGGCCACTGGGTGAGGGCCATGACCCTCGCCGGGCTTCGAAGAAAAAAAAGGAAAAATAAGAAAAAGAAAAGTGAAAAGAAAAATGAGAAGGATAAAAAATATATAAAAAAATTCATATGTTTTTTTAAAATTGTCCACATTAGCATCAGTGTGCCACGTCGGACAGTCGGCGTCCATATTAGAGATTTCAATTCAAAATCGATCGGAATGACTAAATTGGCAAATCATTTAAAGTTTTAGGACTAAATTGATCAAATTAAAAGGTTTATGAATGAATTGGTACAAACGCAATATGCTTCTGACTTTTTTTTGGTAAATTCCCCAAATGTGATATAAAAATCAATACGATGTGTCAATTTTCCTTACTTGTTGGCAAAAATTCTGAATTATTGATGTGCATGGAGACCTTATCCTAAAGAATAAAAAATAAATGATATCTCGACATTTCTAGCATTAGAGCCCATCATTCAAACATCAATCACATGAACATGGCACTCCTTCCCATGGCAAAGAAAATCATTACTTAAACTCCAGTGCATTCACTTAATTACATGCCTCGGAATTTCTGCTCCCACCGTAATCGTATGTCCACCGTATACGACGACAATGCCCGAGGTTGTCAGTGCTTGTCCGGGGGCGTATTTCGAGAGAGAAAACAAAAAACTTTTTAAAAAAAAACTGCACAAAGTCAACCCTCCACTTCAGGGGCATACCAGCCGTCGGATCAACCAGAACCGATCCAACGGTCGGAGGGGCCGCCAGCAGCGAATCAATTGAGAAGTGGGTCAACAGTTGCGAGCTTTTAATAAAGAAAGAACACCCCCCCAATAACTTCATGCGATGCCTCTATTTGAAGTCAGCTTCCAATTGGGTACGTGTGCGCTACCACATCCTCGACGATTTTCCCTAATTTATGTTCGGATTCGCATTCATGGGCGATGAATTCCGATGCCTCCCCTGATTTTTATTTATTTATTTATTATTTTCGGTGGAATTGGAATCGATTTTCTATTTAATCTAATTTAATTTGGTGGAGGGTTTCTAGAAACGAAGGCTATTTAAAGAAAGAAATTCGAAACGATGCCTTTGAATACAAGCTCCATTACCGTGGACTCGTGGAGGGAGATGACGTGCTCGCTAGGGTAGTGCCCATTTGCGAAAAAAAGTCAAATGGGTGGAAAAGTCAACTGCCTTTGGAGGGTGGCGATTCACAGAAATGGTTCGGAGCACCTAACGAAGTGATGAGTTTAATAGTAGGGGATGGAATTTTTATATTTTCCACTCGCTGAAGGCAATGTTTGAATGTCAAAGCTTAGTTTATAAGGTGATGAAAGGAATGACTCCGGCTGAAGTAAGTGAATGAACACATCCGCTTTTCATTTACTCATGGCTAGTCTCGCCTTTGGGCGCGTCACTGAACACGTCCGATTTGGGATTTGGGTTTACTCAGACTAGACATGTCGAGGGCGATGCGACAAAAAAAAAATTGTGCCATTTTCCATGATAAAATGTCGTAATCCGAGTTATGCACTTCTTTTTATCGAGACAACGCGTCGAAACTCTCGTGTAATTTTGTCGATTGAAATGATTCATGAACAACGTGATCGATATGTATACGATGATGAACATCAGCAAAGCACAGAAATAAAAACTTAGATAATGTAAATCTGTCATTTCCCACTCCGATTTTTATGCATCATAATTAATATTTCCATCATTGCTATTTATCAATCAATGAGCAACCCGAATCTATGGAATTGCGGGTCACATGAGTCACCAAAATGTGACATCGGGTTCCATTTTCATCCCTCTTTTTTCCAACCCGTGGACCGGTCAACCGAACCCCCAAAATTTGTCCTAATATATTCCTAATCCCGGAAAATTCAAAGAGCGAGAACTCCCACAGTTTTGACTTTGACCATCTTTCCCACGAGTTTGTTCCACTTTCTCAACCCCGGGGGCCCACCCATTTTTTATTTTCTTACCCTATTACTGGCAGTGTACTCTCTCCCTCCTCCCCTCTAGAAACCTCACGGCCCATCTCAGCCGTCCATCAAGGTAACCTCCTTTGACCACACTGTTTCCCTCTTTGAGCTGTTACCGGGTAAACCGGTCACTCGTTCCCCCTTATATCCATCAGCCCCGAAGTCTCTCCTCCGCCATTAGTCTTCCCCTTCATCCACACAAATTCTTTTGGTCTCCATGAAAGCTTGAGAGATTGAGAGCCTTGCCGTCACCGCCGTCGTCGCCGCAGCCCCGCCACCCGTCCGTCCGCCCTCCTCCGCCGTCTCTCTCGGGCCCTTCCGATGGCGATCGAGCTGCTTGGCTTCCCCAAGGTGGAGGATCACACGGCGATACAGGAAGCTGCGTCGCAGGGGCTGAAGACCATGGAGCACCTGATCGGCCTCCTCTCTCGCCAGAACCACCAACCCCCCACCGCCGTTGACTGCACCGACCTCACCGATCAGACCGTCTCCAAGTTCAGGAAAGTCATTTCCCTCCTGGACCGCACCGGCCACGCCCGGTTCAGGCGCGCTCCGGTCCACTCCTCCTCCTCTTCCAAGTCTATCCCCGTCGCTTCCCCTATACCCCCGGTTCAGTCTCGGAGCCAAGCTCTAGCGCCGACGCCCGTCCCGGCTCCGACGAGCTCGCAGCCGTCTCCGGCGAGCTTCCTCCACGCGCAGGCCAAGCAGAGTTTGACTCTTGATTTCACGAGGCCAAGCATCTTGGGCTCCAACCCCAAGGGCGTCTCCGAGATCGAGTTCACGAAGGACAGCTTCAGCGTGTCGTCGAACTCTTCCTTCATGTCGTCGGCGATCACCGGCGACGGGAGCGTCTCGAACGGAAAGCTGGGGACCTCGATGTTCATAGCTCCGGCGTCCGGCCAGGCTTCGTCCGCCGGGAAGCCCCCGATCTCGAGCGTGCCGTACAAGAAGCGGTGCCACGAGCACGACCACTCCGATAACATCTCCGGCAAGCACTCCGGCTCAGGCAGCGGCAAGTGCCACTGCTCCAAGAGAAGGTATGAAGCGTTTCCATCGCAATTAAGCCCAAGTTCTGCATTAGCTGGCCGATTTCTAGCCCTCATCAAGTTAATAATATGAGTCGAAAATTGATCTGATTGAAAACGAGCAACTGGGTATGTCTGCAAATATTCATAGGAAGATGACCCAGGGAAAAGCAAACCGATTCGACCGAGTTGACTCGGTTCAAATCGGGCGCACTGTTCATGTTGTCTAGGGGTCAACGAGTGAGTTAGGGAAGGAACAGTTGGCCATTAATGGAGCTAGTCCACTCACCTTTACCCTCCTCACACAGCCAGCACGCGTGACAAGGACAAATAGCATTAAATTAAAACGTGAAAGTTTTTCATTATTTTATATTCTTTTGGTCCGTAACGTCAAAGTTTTCATCAGTCGGTTCAGTTTTAGTCAAATTTGGGTATCCAAGGTTCACGCTTTGCCAAGCAGCAGAATTTGTCGTGTTCTGCTGTGGGATATTGATTGTATAACGACGGTGGAAAAGAGCGGAATTTGCTCTGGAACCGCAGGGTTCTGCTTTGCTTTCGTTCGTCTTGGTCCGGGTGATAAACGTGGCGATTCTTGTTTTCTGACAGGAAAAACAGAGTGAAGAAAGTGATGAGAGTGCCGGCGATCAGCAACAAGATCGCGGATATTCCGGCCGACGAGTTCTCCTGGAGGAAGTACGGGCAAAAGCCGATCAAAGGGTCTCCTTACCCACGGTAACTCTCCGCCCCCTGCCGGCCGTTGATTTTCCGAATCGCACGGTCCAGGATTTTTCACGCAGCCATCACTTTACCCTTTGTTCCTCTTTTTGTTAAATTTTTTTTAATGTGTGTCGGTGCAGAGGGTACTACAAGTGCAGCACGATGAGAGGGTGCCCGGCGAGGAAACACGTGGAGAGGGCCCCCGACGAACCGACGATGCTGATCGTCACGTACGAGGGGGAGCACCGTCACTCCCAGTCCGCGTCGCAGGAGATCGTGCCCGCGGGGGCGATGAACCTGGTGTTCAAGTCAACCTGAGGTGGGGGAGGGGAGGGGAGGGGGGGGGGGGCGACAAGTCAAAGCGGGAGGAGGAGTAGGGTTTTTTTCCTTTTAAAATTTTAGCGGATGTAAATCTTTTTTCTTTTTCCCAACTTTGTATTAAAGAAACGGAAATTGCACAACATTTCCAAAACTTGACTAGCTCTGTTCCCAAACATTCAATTTAATCTAATTCGTTTACTTTTTGGGGTCCGAGAGTTTTGTCTTTGTCTGCCACTTTTACGTGTTTGTTTAATAAATGGGAAATGATAAGGACAAGACAAGGGGCGATGATATCTAGGATGTTAGTCAAAGGTGTGGTTAGTGGGGGGGAGCTTTAATTTTTTGTATTACGATGAAACATTTATAATGAAAGGGCATCGATCTCATGCCATTATAGTAAAGCTCTCATAATGGTATTCAATATTAAGTTGGGAAGCTGTCGACGTCACGAAACCAAGGAGGGAGTTGGAAGCTTGGACCGGACTCTGGCTCCGGCAGCATAATTGGTAAAACCAATTTTGACAAACGGGCCTTCACTTTGGAATGCACGGAGGGAAATTGGGGGAATTGACAACACTAGTTTGAAACGCAGGATTGCGTGCGCTGTCCTCCCTTTTGTGTTTGTCTCCGAGTGAGATGGAGCATCCCGTGAAAAAAACAATTCGGAGAGGTGGAAAGGATTAAGAGGGAGCGAATGAGAATGAACTTAAATCATCACCACGTTGGGGGTGTAGCCTCAAGTATTGAAGGATTGGTGGGAGTTGTAACCTTAGTAGGATATGGAGAGAACACGCGATCCAACTGAATGAGATTAGACGCACCCTTCGAAACGAGAAAGGCAAAGACATGGGCCGGACGACGCGATGAGGACGAAAGAGAGCAAAAAGAGACTGGTAACGGAGACGAAGCTGAGAGCTATTGAATACTTTGACATGGTCGGGATTGCAATCAAAGGCAGGAGCCGACGGTGGGTGTTGTTTGCGCATGAAAATTTGAGTTACAAGCGAAAGATGGCCCTCTTAACTTTAGGTAAAAACCAAGATAAAAGTATCTCTCCAGCTCGAGATACATTAAGATTAAGTCATCATCTCCATATCTTTCGGGCTTTTATGATTGGGAAAAAAGGAGGAGGAAGATTAGACAATCTTTTGAAGGGTTCCCTCCGTTGATCACTCCCAATCGAGCGGTGGTGGGCTTCGTCTTGCCAGCAGACCTACTCGACAGGATGGGTTTGACAAAAAGCAGGAAAATAAACTTTTATTATCCGACATCACATGCTGTCAAGAAATTTATACGAAAAACAAAAGATGAAAGGAGGGTTTTGGGGTTGGACACGTCTCACTCACTCCAGCCCTCCTTTAATTATTTTCTTCGGTTTGTATCGACAATTCATTTAATCTTTTCTTTGAGTTATCTTTTATTTAGAACAGTGATTTACAGTGTCTTTGTTCAAGTGAAAGAAAATATTGCGAATCATGTGCAGCGTGATTCCTGAATTTTTAATTTATTTAATATGATCCCTGAATTTTAGCACAATATGCAATATTGTCATTGAACTGTTCAATGTGATCTAAACTTTTTTTTTTTTTGGTAAGGAATGTGATCTAAACTTTTCATGTTCAATTAGTCCATGAAAGGTCAACATTAAACATTTTCATATAGTCGAAGGACAAAATTGAACATATACTAAAAAGTTCAGAGACTACATTGAACAAATTAAAAGTTCAGAGACTATATTGTACATTGTGCTAAATTTCAGGGACCACATTGCATGTTGGGCCAAATTTCAAAGATTATTTATGTCATTATCCCTTTATTTTAATTCATTTTCCCCAACAAACCTCTCTTATAAAACGAGCGAGTTTTATTAATAAAACAATCGGGGGAATCAGTTCCAAAGACTTGGCAGAACAACTGCTACAAACAACAAACCAGATAGCAACTGACCATCACACTTATCCTACCATTCTCCACCTTCTACAGATTTCTCTACATTGATCCTGAACAATGGAACTACAAGTTTGCAGAAAAATAGAACTGGTACAAACAATGATATCATGCAGCTTCTTATCCTCACAAGCATAATATGATAAATGGCAGCACACCAAGCTATCATAAAGACTTCACTAGCAACAGCTTTTACTTTTCAAGTGGCACAAACCCAAAGCAAACCATTATCCCAGCTCTGCAGTGCTCTCTTCACTCCACATATACTGTCAATCATTCTCTATACCTATTATGAGATTGCCCAATCAACAAATAAATGGTTCCTAGATTCAGTGAAAGAACCTCCAAGGAGACGGACATCATCCAAACCAGGATTCCACATCTTTGATCTTTCCCTAGTGGGAAGTTAATTCAAGATGGTTAACCAACTGATGAAACTGTGTTTGGGAATGATGGAATAAAACCAAACTATCTTATGTCAAACAAACTTTTCCAGCTGAGGCTCGAATCTTACTCCATGCACTATGTACAGTGAATTGCCCTGAAGAAGAAGCAGTCCACAGGATCTCATCTGCCTGCTCTATATTAGGAGTAACATCTCCACATAATGCAGCTTGAATTTGAACGAAAGCTTCTGATCTAGCAGTTGGCCAGTGCCATGAGCCATTTTCTATCACATCAGCCACCATAGCATCAAGAGTATTGCCAGTACCATAAACCACACGAAAGGAAAATTTATCCAGCAAAGTTCCCAATGGATGCTAGGGGTCCATTCATGAAAAGTGTTCGAAACAAACGCGGACAAACAAATACAGAACACAAGAATTTACGTGGTTCGATCACAAGGTGATCTACGTCCACGGGCGAGGCAAAACAAGATTCCACTATAATCAAAGAGAGTACAGTTTTCAGAAGTCGAAAAAACGACTTAACAAAACCTCACGGCTCACAAATCTCTCCCAAAACGAAAATCTCTCTTATTTAATGAAAAAACCTAGCCGCAGTATAAATAGGGCTCCCCAAAAAATTTCCTCGGGAGCATAGCCCCCGAACCCCCCGAGACATTTGTTCGCTTGCTCCAGCTTGGGCGGACCGCCACAGAGATTTGTTCGCTTGCTTCGGGTTGTGCCTATCGGCCCAACCTTCCGCGTCACGAACTAAATCTCAATTTTTTCTCCACTTTTGGATCGCACAAAAAATATATGTCAGGTCGGGTGATGAACCGGACCGAGTACATAAAATTCAAGACATATTTAACAAAAAAGGATTTCCTACCATCCCCAATAACAAACTGAACTATGGGCTTTAAGTCACTCCTCAACTTTAGAAGTTTTCTCCAAATGTAAGAGCAGAAGAAGTTAATGGCCAAAAAGGTTGCCGCTTTATCAGATAAGTCCTGATCTCCACAAAGAGCCAGAGCCAACAAGCAAAAGCCATATAAGCTTCATGATTGCATACTCATTCCATTGATAGACTTGCTTTAAACACAAACCACCTTCTTGTTTTTTTTTTTTTTGGCTAAACATATGGCAGTCCATTTAACCATTACTCCCTTGGCCTTTCCATCAGAACCAGTAAGGGGGCAGCATTACAACAACTTCTATAACCTCTTCTGGCAAAACAAAAAACTCTGCACCAGTATGAATAACATTGTAAAGCTGAAGTCTGCTAGCAAAATACAGATGTCTGACACTCCAACTCCTCACCCTACTTGACATTCTCTTTGTTAGAGGCTTGCGGTCTATCTCAGAAAGTTTCCCTGGAACTAGAGGAAGTCCACATACTTTACAGGCAAACTTCCCATCTTAAATCCACTAAGCTGAGTCATGTCAGCAACTTGAGGACCAAAATAAAACTTGTGAGTCTCCTCTTTTTCCATCAATTAATTTAGGTTTGTTTAGTTTGTATTTTTCGTTTGTTACGGCATTGTGTGGGGAGCTAATAGTTTCTAGTCTAAACGAGCGGATGATGGCCCGATTTGGGCGGACCTTTTCGGTCTAAAACATCACCAATACATCCATTGGCAGTGGGGCAATCAACCGGTCTAGTTGCCAGTATAGCTTCTTCATGAATTTCGATCAGAATGATTTTTTAATCTCATAGTAATCGCTATTAGTTTCAAGACAGAAAAAAAAAGAAAAGCTTACTGTCTACTTCGTGTAACCCAGTTGTGGTGTCCTATATCTATCTGACGCGCTAAAGAGTAAACAATCAATATGCTTTCAAGCTAAAGTCAGAAAAATACCAATTTCGTAAGTTAAAAGCTCGTAAAATCCTAATCCGAAAGGGTTCTCCCAGAGATGACAGGCAAGGTTCTTAGCCCATGATCCACTCTCTCTGTTCTCATTACAGGTGAACATGAAAGAAAGTAGTAAGTTACACAAACAGAAGGTATGTATGGTTACTGGGTAGTGATCATTTCGCTGTTACAGGGAAATGGTGGTGGTGTTGGTGGGATGATCTCAGAGGGTGGAGAGGAATGGTGTTCCTTGCCTTTTGCTCGGAGAAGTTGAAGGGGAGAGGGTATGGGTCATTGGGTTTGCTTGGCTTCTTTGTGGAAGACTCTCTTCCTCTGACAAGAAGATGGAGGAGGATCATGATGAGGTGCTTTAGCTACAGTTGCACCCAATCCCAAGTCCATGCAACTCTTTGACTTCGCTCTCAAGTCCAAGGCCCATCTAAAGCAGCTTCAGTTCAAGCTGCATCATGGCCCAAAAATGGAAGGCCGAATTCATTTCCACAGGGGTCGAGCCGAAGATGGCATCGCCCGTTGCTCTTCTATCCCCTTGTCGTTTCAGCTTCTTCCCTACGCCTCGCCGTGTCGGATTCGCCATCGCTGCCCGGAGTCGACTCGGTTGGAGCTCCATGAGTCAGGCTTCGTCGGATTCCGCTGCCGCCGAGGACGTGATTGTGCAGTACGTGGTGCTCAGGCGGGATCTCATCGACGCGTGGCCGCTGGGGAGCGTGGTGACCCAGGGCTGTCATGCCTCCGTCGCCGCCATCTGGTCTCACCGGGACGACCCCCTCACCCTCCAGTACTGCAGCCCCGATAATCTTGATTCCATGCACAAGGTTTCCAATCTCTCTTCTCCTTTCGCCTCTAGTATTTTCTGCATGATTCACTCTGTGTCTGCACAAAAAATGTAATTGCCGATTGATGGGGATCATGGGTTTCGAGAATGAATGGAAAGCTAACAAGCTAACAAGTTTTAAGGACTCAAACGGGTACTAATAGATTGATCCCAACTTTCTTGTTTTGCTTAGTCCTGATGCCTGATTTTAAGCAGCAAGAATTCGTTTACCATCGTGATTACACAGACCAATGTGATGCTGATCTTCTCTGCTGTGATGATGCCTATTGGGTTCATTTGTCTTACTAAATAGGAGCTGTCCTGTTCGAGGAATTACGCGTTCTGCTTTGCACGTCGTTTTTTTGAAGCTCGATCTGTTGTTGCCTGTCAAGTTAGCTGTTACTGATGACAGGGAGAAGCACCAACTGTTTGATGAAAAGCTTCTCCGCTATACCCGTTTTCACTTTAGCTGCTTACCTAGTTGTCTTATAGGTTTCCGCAATACAAGGAATGGCATTCAAGCAAAAACTCCTTTGCGCTCCTTCATTTTTTCCCCTAAGTTGTGTGATTGCTTTTACTTGTAGGTAACTCTTGAGGTAAAGGGAGAACCCCAGATGTTGAATTTGGCAGAGAAGCTCAAAGCTGGTGACATTGCGCATAAGCTTTGGATAGAACAACCTGAGAACATTCCTACCTGCCTTGCCACAAAGCCTTATCCCAAATCCGTTATATCTTCATACTTTAAGAAGTTGAAGCTTTGCAAGTGAGCAGGAGTGACATTTTCTCAAGCCTGACAGATTCTTTCTTGTTTCCCTTAAGCAAATTTTTGGGGGAATCAAAGGCATTGCATTAAAGGACAGCTGGGAATCTTGTTACTTGTCCCTATTAAGATCAGTGTTTGAACTTTAGCTGGATATGTAGACATTGATCTGACAACTACGTGCGAAAGATTTGTAACTTGTACATCTTGTCTGCATCATGGTGAGATGTTTATATCCCCTCCTTTGTGTCGTGCAATTTATTACTAGAAGAATTGTCATATTCGTTCGCTCTGTCGCTCTGTCTATCTGTGTTGCTACAAGCCGGCTACTTCAGCCTTGGAGATCTATAGTTTTCCTTTGTTTAATGCCGAGAGGTCTGGAGCACCTGCTGCAGGTGTGCCTCCTCATCTTCTTGGTTCTGGACCAACCGAGCGGAAAGCACAACCTGCATTGTCTCCGCCTTATAGATGGTACACATTGGTGTGCTCTAGCTTTCTCGACGCCACCCTCCCATAATCATCACGTGACATACCAACACCAAGCACATCATTCCCCGTGATTGCATTTCTAGTTATGTTTTGCCTTTATGGATGCTGATAGCCAAATTTTCTGATAAACCATATGGACAGGAAGAAAGCGCAACAGCTGAATGTTGATTTCATGATTACGAATAATGCACCGGGATTTACTATTGTAGCTCTTCCTTGTATTTGAAGGATTTCATGTCAGATCTGTGCATGAATTTATTTATCTACTATCGCTGCTCTATACATTAGAGCAATCAGCAGAGAACACATGGGCCTATTGAGTTATTTTCTCTTTTGTATGCTCGTGTGGCTATGGGGCTGGTGCTGTAATAGATGGAAGAACCATGTGTATTGCTTCACTTGTGGATCACTCTTCTTATATAAAGTAAGAAAAGGAGAAACAAAACAGAGAGGCACCCACCCGGCTTCAAATTATTGATCACTAGCGGCAACACCTAACATGTATAAGTTTAACCCAGTTTTATTACTTCAAAATCTTGGGTTCAGGCATAAAGCACCTGACAATTACAAGGAGACAGATCCTGAAAAGCTTTAGGAGCAGCCAGCACTCGCCACTCCACCCAAAACTCACCGTCCTTGCAGACCCGGACCGTCCCGACCCCGACACGGAGCCCGCTCCCCACCACGTAGATCACCGCCGCCTCCTCCTCCTCCGCCCCCTCCTCCGCCGCGCTCGCGGCGAAAGGCTTGTGCACCTCCTCGCAGGGGAACCTATCCCCTCCCACGTACCTCCACGTGTCCTCTTCCGGGTCGAACACCTTCAACTGATGGTCCCCGTGCTCCGATATCACGAACAGCCTCTCTCCGACCACCACGCTCAGCCCCGTCCACCCTTCCCTCATCCCCCGTCCCATCTCCCGCCACGTGTCCCCCTCCGCGTCGTACGCCGCCCCTCTCGGCGTGAACATGAACGGCCACGTCCATCCCTCCGTCACGTACATCCTCCCCCCCACCACCACCGAGTCGTACCTCACCATCCCATTCCCTCCCATCCCCGCCGCCTCCCGCCACGCGTCCTCCCTCGGGTCGTAGCGCTCTACGGCCGCCGTCGAGCTGGACAGGTCGGGGCCGCTCCCGCCGGCGACCACGATACTGCCGCCGCCTTCACCGACAACCCCGGCTGCGAAGAAAGCCCGCGGGGTCCGCATCGGGGACAGGGGGGACCACTGGTTGGTGGAGGCGTGGTAGACGACGGCGGTCCGCATGGGGGACTCGGTGTCGGTGCGCATGCCGCCGAGGACGAACAGCTTGCCCTGGCGGGGCATGGAAGCGCAGGCGAAGGCGGGTGGGCAGGCGGACTTGGGGCAGGGCATGGGGGGGAGGACGAACCAGCGCCCGGAACGGGGGTCGAGGGCTTGCCACTGGATCCTGGATGTGGACTTGTGGAAGGCGAAGACGAAGAGGTAAGGGAGGGAGAGGGAGAGGGATGTCTTGGAGAGGAGGAAGGTGGGGTCTTGGAGGACTCTGTTCCAGGAAGAAGAAACGGAGCGAGCCAGAGCTTGGTATGGGTAGGGCAGGTGAAGGAGGCACAGCTCTGCTATGTCGTCGGGTAGCCCCGGGATGAGAGGCTTGGGAGGTGGGGAATTCGCAGCTGGTTCATGGAGTCTCAGAATTGGCATTCTTGAAATGGAAAACAGAGAGAGTGGATGAGAATGATGAGCCGAGCAGGTGATGGTTTTTATAGCTCGGGATGATCGGGTAGTCAAAAGGAGTTGGAATTGTTTGATGGGTTTTGGGTTGTGGCGGTAATACTCGTATGGCTATGGGATCTAGAAGCCGGAATTTTGGGGAAGAGAGAACGAATGATTTGCTGGAGAAAAGAAGCAGAGTAGGTTGTGTGATTCGAGGAATTTGAGGCGCCGCAAAGTAAAGCGACGTCCCCGGATACCTGCGACAATCTGAGACAACAAAGACTCGCGTGGAAGACACCGGGCAAACCTCACGCCAAACCCAGGAAAGCACAAAGGAGGTCGAGAGCAAGACCCGATCAGATCTGAGCAGCGAGCAGTGTGTGGAAAGGTACATCCAATTGGGAGACGCAACTTGTTTCCACTTTAATAATTGAAAGTGGGAGGAGCGCCCCTCCATTTCTTGTGAAAGGGCCCTTATTTTTTCAGGGATGGAGGGCGGGCCAACAACGGCAGAACACTAGTCAAAGTCGCGACCTTAATCAGACTGACCCACCATTTGAAATTTTAGTAATTGGACATAAATAAGCCCACGTGTGAAGTCGTCGAGCAATGCGTGGTCATTGCAATTCCAGTTGTCAAAGTTCTCGTGGGCCGAAAACTCGTACGGAGCATCCTCTGTAGGAATGAGAGGTTCGTCTTTCCTGTTTCGGGAAAGAGGGATCATGCGGCTGATCGGTCGGGCTCTGATGGTGGGATCGAGCAGAGTATGGTGTTGAGCTTTGTAGGGAACTCAGGAGGCAGATTTTATTGGTGATGGACATTCGCATGTGGATGATCACCAGCAACCTCCTGAGCAGTTTGGTTTGGTATCTGCTCCAAAAGAGACGCGCCGAAAAGTTAGTTGTACTCCCCCAAAGAATTTAGTAACTTGTTGAGAATCTATCAGCCAGGTCAAATAGAAGGGTCCTTTCCTGATAAACGTCACTAAGTTTCAGCTTCATATTAGTCTGTCCTAACGTGGAGTGGTATGCGAATATACAATGATGAGATTCATCGGCCATTTAAGGTCAAGTAAATGAGATTCAAATTTACTTGGACATGCAGCTCAGCTCATACCGTATGTCTAGCATAACCAATGTATCAACACTTAGGTTCCAAGGAAAATTAAGGCCTCAAATCGTGTGCGTTTATGACAAAAACTAGAAGCGTGATATTAATGTCATTCGTGAAGTTGACAGCTCAATTGGAGCACATAAAGTAGTTGAATGAGGATGATAATCTGGTCAAGTTCGAATGCATCATGTCATAGGCATATGAAATGTTCTGGTATTTTTTACAATTTTTTATAAAAAGTTAAACCAATGGGCCTGCCTGTACTCGCAGTATTGTCCAGCGTTGTTTCACTGAGACATGGCAATTGCTTCCTAGCTTTCAAGTCTGAACGCTGTTACTATTGCTGACACGCAACCGAGTAGAGAAGCCAGTGTCTTGTTGGGCAATTCTCATCTCATATCAGTTGATCTCTAAGCCCTATAAATACCCATATGACACCTGCTCTCCCCTACGACTCATTCTCTTCTTTCGCTGCATAAACTTCGATTCATTTCAAAGGCCTAGTAAAAACAAAAGCTTTACTTGAAGGAGGAAGGAACATATAATGGGCACATCATCATTTAAGTGGTGGGTGCTACGAAGGAACTTGAAGAGTGCAGTGAAGAAGATAGAGGACATGCTAATTTGCAGATGGCGAAGAATAACCAATTCAGTTGTTAGCGGTGCTAATAAAAGGCGCTGGTGGCAGCGTAGTCATACTTCACTGGGCTTGCGACACCCCATTGAAGAGGCAGATGGGAATGAGAGTAGTTCAAAATCAGATGGAGCACTAGAACGTACACTAATGGCATCTTTCCGTAATGATGGTATCGGTCACAATGATGCATATGAATACGATTGCGAAGAGGATGATATCAATGGGAGGGCGGAGAATTTTATCGCAAATTTCCGTCGTCGACTTCAGATGGAAAGGCAGGTTTCTTTGGAGCTAGGCTACTCACGACGGAATAGTTTCTGTTAAGTTGGAAAGACAGGACTCCAGAAGATTGATCTAAAGATGAAACTAGGACACGTATGCTTTTCGTTTTCGCCACCATTTCCAAAACTTCTTTCTTTCAGAGGAATCATAACAAGGAAGGAAGATAACTACAGATGAAGAAAAAACTCATTGTTGCCGACAATTCGGCCTTGCATCACTTGTTCAGTTGTTTATAGTTTCCCTTTTTTCAGTTATCTCAGGTGCGGTACCAGCCCTGTGAATAAATACACGATTAAGATGCTCTTGGCGGCCACTCATTCTTTTCTATAAACTTCGGTTCATCCTAAGGCCCATCAAAAGCTAATAAGAACAGTCAATCTCCACTGCACTGCTGGATTCAAGATCTAAAAGCGAAGAAAAAGGAGGAGAAGAAAAATAAGCAGCAGCAGAAGAAGAAGAATTCATTTCCAAAGCTCGAAGGTGATGACATGATGGCCATCATTCGCATAATTGGCACAATTGAAGTGATTGTGGAATGCTGTGTTTTCCTCATCTCAGTGTTGTAACAGAGCTTGTTCTTCACTTTGAAATTGTTCGCGTGAACAACTACCTTGTTTATCTCCACCTCATCCAAAGAAGCAATGTCATATTATGAGATGCGAGTGAAGTTCCATCCCAAATCTCCACACTTACACATCATAGGCATTTGCCCTTCTAATTTTAATTTAACTTATCTTTGAGAACCTGTGGATGCAATGGTGTTGCGGTGCATTCAGCTGCTTCTTCCCACCCTTTTCTTGATATGCGTGATTTGATTTCAGTAGACACGAGGATGCCCTACGCGAGACTTTCTGCAATACCTGTAGAGCGAGGACTTCATCTTGGTTCCAAGCCATTCTCTTTTCTTTTATATAGATAGTCAAAGAGTTCTCAAGTCTTGATAACGATGAGCTATTACTGGTCTACGCTCAGTGTCATTCTTATGATCTATCCAAGAATTGTTCGAATCCATCCCGATTGAGTTCGCGTACAATTATGGCACATATCCATGACAGACCAAGGATCAACAGAACCATGCAGGAATCATTTGGAGCTTCAACTTAACAATTTCAACAGAAGTGAAAAGCAATAAACATAGTAAAAGATTACCAAACGATAACTCTCTCCGATGTTTCACTTTGCAGATCATAAAAATAATCAGCCAGGATTGGTGATGGACATTTGCATATGGATGATCACCAGCGACCTCATGAGCATGTGGTTGCTCACTCTTAATTTTGATCGGATAACACTGTCAAGATCTTGCTAGTCAGTTCCCTATTTCTTCTTTCTGTATAGATGATAAGGTTTCAACTTAGAGGATGGCAGTACGGGGAGTGGGGGCCTTAGCACGTCGGAGCCTTTGTGAACTGGTTGTATTTGTTTGCTATTTTTGCAATTAATGCAATTGGCGGATATATCATCTCTGGCACATCTACCCCAAAGAGATCTACCCAAATATTGTACTGCCCGATATAATTTAGTATCTTGTTGAAAACACATAGCTTTTCAATTGAGAATGCAGACTTTTAATAAAAATGGAAATAAGAAAATAAGAGTATTTGGTTTATCTATCAACCAGGTCAAAAATAGAAGGATTCTTTTCTGATAAAACCTCAATAAGTTCCAACTTTATATAAGTATGTCCTAAAAAGAAGTGGTATGCGAATATACAATGAAGAGATTCACCAGCCATTTAAGGTCAAGTAAATGAGAATCGAACTTACTTGGACATGCAGCTAAGCTCACACCGTCCGCTGGCTTAACCAATACATCAAGACTTAGCTCCCAAGGAAAAGGCCTCAAGTCAAGCGCATTTCTAACAAAACCAGAAGCGTGACGTCAATGTCATTCGTGAGATTGACAGCTCCAATTGAGCACATAAAGTAGCTGAGCACATAAAGTATCATGTCATGGGTATATATAAAATGTAAAGTTCTTTGACAATTCGTTTTAATAAATTAACTAATGGGACTCACCCATCGGTGGCCGCGTTGATTTGCGCTCGATGTCGGTGATTCGCTTTCATGAGAGGTCAGTGACGGCAGGTTGGCGGGTTCGCCTGCGTCAAGCCTCGGCGCGTCGCAGTCGGTAATTTAAGTGGGGGTCGTGGCGATGGGATCTTTGCGGCGGCCGGTTAGCCCGCCGTCCGCTCGAGGGCTAGTCGGGCTGCGGAACGTTCGGTTCATTGGCGCGGGGTTTTGAAGTGCCATGCTTCGCCCAGCATCGTGGTTTGGCATGTCCCACCACCTCGGTTATAAAAAAAAAAAAATAACTAATGGGCCTGAACTTGTAGCATTCGTGGTTTCTCCAGAGTTTTACTGAGACTTCAAGGCAATTGCCATTACAATCGGGTATCGCTTCCTAAATGTCAAGTCTAAACGCTGTTACTGTTGCTGACACGCAACCGAGTGGAACTTGTTGTGCAATTCTCTTTTCATGTGACGTGATCTCTAAGCCCTATAAATACACCTACGACACCTGCTCTCCCCTACCATTCATTCTCTTTTTTCGCTGCATAAACTTTGATTCATTTCACGGGCCTATTAAAAGCAAAAGCTTTATTTGAAGGAGGAAGGAACATATAATGGGCACATCATCATCCAAGTGGTGGGTGCTACGAAGGAACTTGAAGAGTGCAGTAAAGAAGATAAACGACATGCTTATTCGCAGATGGCGAAGAATAACCAATTCTGTTGTTAGCGGTGCTCATAAAAGGCATTGGTGGCGGCGGAGTCGTACTTCACTGGGCAGGCGACACCGCATTGAAGAGGCAGATTGGAATCAGTGTAATTCAGAATCAGGTGGAGCACTTAAACGTGCAAAGATGGTAACTTTCCATTGCGATGTTATGGGTCACAACAATCCATATGAATATGATTGCGAAGCGGACGATATTGATGGGAGGGCAGAGAATTTTATTGCGAATTTCCGGCGTCGACTTCAGATGGAAAGGCAGGATTCTTTGGAGCTACGCTACTCATGAGGGAATAGTTTCTGTGAAGTTGAAAAAACAGGATTAATTGTGCTCCTTTTTAATTTTATGGTTTCTGCATGTTTGCGTCTGAATGTTTTTGACAATCAGCATCGAGACTAATTTAAAATTTTTCCTTCTTTTGAGTTCTGAGTTTGAAGCATCCTGATAGAGAGCCCATAGTGAAGCTACTATAGTTGTTTTGATGAGTGTTAGTTCATGAAGATAAGGAGGCATATTCGTGTCAAAGAAGGCATCGATAGTGTCACATTAAAGGCATATCTCTTAGACTTTTACAGCTTCGGATATGCTTTCATTTTCTTCGAGAATTAAGAAAATCGTCATTCCATGCGAAGGACATGGCGCTGTGCTTACCAACAATGTCAAATTGTTAATGAGGTTGAATCGAATCTATTGAAGTCTGCATCCAAAGCCCAACTGACTTATTTGCCTAAGTGCCGAGGCTGTATCAGTAATCAAGGGACTCCTAAAGATT